CGGTGGTTGAGGGGTAGTGGCGGGCAGGGGCTTTCCTCCTCCTTGGAGACGCTTGGAGATGTCTCCAGATACACAGCTTGGCCTATCTGTGGACACCTCTGAAGCAGAAGCAGGTCTGTGGCAAGGCCTGCCAAGTGAGCACCCTAGACACTGCAGGGGACTCTAAGGTGGCATTAGAGTAGAAGCATGTACTCTTCCTCCAGGAGAAAACCCAGCTCACCTACTAAGGGCTCCAGGCTGAATCCTGACCTGATGGGGTGGCCTTGGGTACAGCCCTCCCCACTTCAATCCTCATAAACCCTACACCCTCAGCAGAAACATTCATCCACCTTCCCCACATTCTTCTTCATCCCCAAAATTCTTATCAGGAGGAACAAGAATTCTGCAACAAAATGGGGTGAGGAGCTGGGCACGGTGGCACATGTCTGTAATCCCAGACTTGGGAGGCTGAGGCAGGAGGATCACAAGTTCAGGCTAGCCTGGGTAACTTAGTGAAACGCTGTCTCAATAAAAAAATAGAAAGGGATGGGGCTCAAAGGTAGAGCCCCTGCTTAGCATGTGCAAGGCCCTGGGTTTAATCCCCAACACTGCAAACAAGCGGGGCAGGGAAGCAGCTCAGTGGTAAAGCTCCCTGGGTTCTATCCTCCATTGGGGAGGTGAAGTAGGGAGGGGGAAGGAGAGAGAGGCAGGCAGAGGCCTCAGCAACTCAAGGAGGAGGGAGGTAGGAGGCTCTCCAGCTGGGAGACCCCTCTCCTAGACCAGGGCTCTTTCCTCTGCACATGTGGTACACAATGCCCTGCTGGGGCAAACGTTAGGGTGGCCTTTGGTAGAGTAGTCCAGGAAGAGTACAAGCAGCATCTCTGACACATCCTCCCTCAGTCCCCGCACCTCTCACCTGCCCTGCTCACAAGGCTTCCAGGCGGAGGTGAGGTTTCTGTGCACTTCCCAGCAGCCAGCATGAATGTGAACAGGCGCCAAGTCTCTAAGTACCACCTCTGAGGAGCTCAGCCCCAACCCTCCCTCCATAACCCAGCACAGCAAGGGACTCTGTCTGCAGAAGGACAAGAAGCCAGAAGGTGCAGGGCCAAAGGCAGAATCTGAAACATGAGGCTGGGAGTCTTGAAAGTCCCAGTGCCGGACCAGACAGACTACAGACAACTGTTGACAGCACATGCATTGTGGGGAGGGGCTGACTTCCCTCTGGAACCTCCCTTCCCATCGGATCCCCCTAAAGTAGCTTGAGCAGAGGAGACCAGATGGAGGAGGAAAGTCTCTTCCATTCTTCTTCTCCCCTCCCCCTACTCCTCGCCCCCCCATTTCTTTAGAGGGGGGTGAGTTAAAAGCCCATTAATGTGTAGAGCCCCCCAACCCTTTTGAATCTCCTCACAGGATGTGAACAGGGTGGGATTTGGCCCAGTTGCCATGGCAACTGCAGTGGGAGTTCCCAGACGCTAGGCAACCCTCCCGTGACCCTCCCTGACCTGTCACCCCCGCAACCCGTGGACAATGGGAATGCGCTCTGGAGGCCCAGGCAGCCTTTCAGCCAGCCGCCAGCAGCTCAGCCGGCCCCACCAGGCCTGCCGGCTCAGCCGTCCCGGCCCCAAGTCCAGCCCTCCTGGGCCAATGTGCCCTGACCAGTCTCCAAGACCTCCCCAGGTCCTCTCCTTCCCAAAATCTGGTGCACATCTCTTCCAGCTCTCACTGGCCCCCATCAGAGACCCAAAGGGCATCTGTGGGGTTCCTGGGCTGGCCCCCACACACGGGGACATTTTCATATAGGTGATATCAGATGAATATAAATCATAAGGGCAACTTTTAAAGAAAAAATATCTATCATATGGGGTACAGATGCCGAAGAGGGGGCAACAGGATAAGAGGTATTTGCCTTGATGAAAGAGGGGGCTTATGTATCCCTTATGTCCCTCTAGTCTAGGGTACTCTGCAGTAGCAGCTGGGGATCAGCAACTCTTCAAGGCGCTGCTTGCTGAATGACTGCCAGCTCCAAGGCCTGCAGTCCCCCAGCACCACCTTCTTGGGGTAGTAGGTCCATGCGGGATTGAGTCTACACACTTGGTGAAAGCCCCCGGGATAGAGTGAAGCTGGTTTGGCTCTGTCACTCACCAATAAGGGGCCCGGGAATGGTGAAATGGGGCAGCTGGCCAGGGACCCTCTGTGTAGCCAGACCTGGCCTGGCAGGCGTGCTGGGTCACCCCCCAGCCTCTGTTTAAATAAGCTCCCAGCCGCTGGTTGCATGGAAACCAAGCGCCTGCTCTTGTTCTGAAGTGACGTGGCTGCCCTCTTTAGTGCTGTTTGTTTCAGCCTAAAGTCTTGTCACCAGCCTGACTTCTGACTCTGTGTGTGTGTGTGTGTGTGTGTGTGTGTGTGTGTGTGTGTGTGAGAGAGAGAGAGAGAGAGAGAGAGAGAGAGAACTCATTACTCCCAAAGGCCAGGATTGCATTTCCAGGATTGCATTTCTGGTGTGTTTACCCAGAGCAGAGGGACAGGGAACAACACACAGACAAAGGGAGAGGGCCTTGGAGACCCAAGAGGGGCACAAAAAGGAGGACAGGGCCAGCACATGATCCTCCGACCCACTCTCTCAACACTCTGCCTCTGGAGTTCCTGTGGATACCAGAATAGCCATTTAGGGTGCCCGGCTGGGAACATTTATGTCGGGAATGACACCCTCTTACCCTCCTCACCAACACACATCTGTTTAGCCCCAGAACCTCCTCTCTCCACCTCTTGCACAGGCCTGGGATACAGACGTGTAGCTGCTGCCTTTGTCACCTGGACAAGTCAGTGTCTACCTCTGGCTGCCTCATCTAAAGTGGGATTTAATGACACAGTGTGCACGACAGTTGGCCTCCAACAGGGAGGAGGAACCCAGGGGCCATCTTTAGCTCCACAAATCAGTGTTACTGGGGCACCAGGAAGGGGTGATCCTTGAAGCTCCCCCCAAAGTAACATTCATCTGTGGTGTGGTGTGGGGGGGTGGAAGAGTGGCCCACAGACTATTTCATTTTTAATTGAAAATCTTGTAATTTTAATTTTGCAGGGTTCTTTTTAGAGTTTGGAGCCATCAAAACCTTTTTTAAGTCTCAAATATTTTCCTTGGCCCTGGGCACTCCGCCCATAGCGAGCCCAAATGGATAAAACAGTCCTCCTCCTGCCTCCAAATCCCCACCCGAGTTTATTTGTGAAACCGATATAGGATTTTCCAGGACTTTGGGATATTCCCCAAAACAAACAGGAATAACTGGAATGTGGAATATAGATGGTAAAACATGGCAATGCAGAACCCAGAAACCTGATCAGTACAGACGGTCCCGCCTCTCCCCACCCCAAACATCTCTCCAGTTGAGAGACCTGGGCTCATGCTTCATTCCAAGTAATTTTTTTTTTTAAAGAAAGTTTTGTTATCTCCCCCAACTTTTTTATAGCTTTGTTCGAATGGAGGTGCAGGAGGGGAAGGGCTAGTCATACAAAATGGGTGGCCTCGAGGACTTCTGGTGGGGTGTGTTTTGTTATTATTTTGATAAAGGGCCTGGTTTTTCCCTTTGACTTTCTGTACCCAGCAGAAGGCACTGTGTCCCTGAGGGTCTCTTCCCCAGAGAACCTGCATAGGGAGGCTTGGGAAATGCCGGCAAACACCCAAGGACCATCTCCCCAGGGACAAAAGGCCCTTCCCACTCCAGTCTCTGTTGGCAAGAGGACGTAATTTTTTAAAGTCCTCGATTTGTTCACATCCATGAGTAGTGTGAGAGAGGTTTCACACCCCAATAGCATCTGATCCTAAACCAGCACACTGGATGCCCAATAGGCCAGGGCTCAGGGAGGCCCATGATTTGTGGTACCTTTGGTAAGGAGTGGGCTGGCACCTAACCCAGGCTTTTTCCATTCCTGCTTTAGAACTTACTGACCAGCTTAGAGCAGTTGTGGGGCCTGGGCTGGTGCTGCTTCTAGTCTAACCTCTGGCTCTGAAAAGTATGGTGGGAAAGGGCTCCTTAGGAGATTATTTAGAGGAGACAGGGAGAGCCTTGGAGCCGGTTGTGAAGGCACAGCAGGTACACAGCAGAGACAGAGCTGGGATGTTGGGCAGGGACAGGCATCCAAAGACCCTGATTTTCCATGTTCCCAGAAGAGCCCCCAAGGGCCAGTGCCACCAGCAGTGATTTGAGGAGCACAGTCAAATACGAAGAGAATCCCAAGGCCAAGGCCAGGGCTGGCTGGGCCGGTTCTCCTGAACTTGTCAAGCATGATTTTTCCTTTTTGACTCCAGGTGGGGCTGAGACCTGGGGGGGCCTGCTCTGTCATCACCCAACCAGGTTCCCCACCCTAGTTCCTCTTGATCCTCAGGCAGGCTAGCCTTGAACTCCTGAACCCTGCACTTAAAGGTAGGAAAATGGTCACAGAAGAGGAAAGGGGCACACAGAGGGTTGCCAGTCTGAGCCCTAAAAATAGAGGCCTGCCTTTGCCTCCCTCTCTTGGCCTCTTCTTGGTGGCTTTGGCCCCTGGTGCCTCAAAGTTTAATCTCTTCACAGCTTGGATCAGAGATCCAGGCAGACTTGGAGGGGGGGAATGTTTTATAATACAAATAAAGTGAAGATACCCCTGTGTGCACTGCACCCCCGCCCCCCAGATACACACACAACCCTGCTAATTTAGCCAGTTTGCCAGGAATGCGCAGGCGCAAGCAGAGAGTGAGGCAACCACCCACTCAAAACAGACTCCAAAGCCTACTGCCCAGCGTCTGTCTGTCCTTATGTCATTCCTGGGACTGTTCCAAGCTCTTTAGACTCAGGCTCCAATACCACTTCTCTCTTTCCCTGGGGATGGCTGGCTCCCCAAGTCTTACAGTGGCCACCAGAAGGAGAGGTGCAGGAGTCCCTGGAGGCGTACCCTCTCAAGAATGTTAAAATGAGGTTGACTGGTGGGCGCAGCAGCCCAGTGGCCCTCAGGGAGTGGGAGAGACCTCGGGGAGGGGCGCGGGCTCCTACCTGTTGCTGCTGGAAGTGCAGAAGCTCCGCAGGGCTCATCTCGCCATTGCTGTCAGCGCCGGCCGCGGCGTCTCTACCCGCTCCGCCTGCAGCGGTGCCTGCAGCCCCGGCCCCGCTGCCATCGGCCTGCCCAGAGAGGCTGCCCACGCCGTTCTGACCAGACGGAGCCGACCTGATTGTCTCTGAGGCGGATTCCACCATCATGTCGCTCTAGCGGGACCTGAAGGAGGAGAGACACGGGGGAGGGGCTGAGGCTCCAGGCTAGACGGGCAGGGCGGGTCCTACCCAGGGCGGCCACCAAAATACCCCCAAATACAATCGCCCCTCACAGAACCCCCCACTTCCCCTCACCCTGGGCCTTGGTGCCCTCAGGCTCTGAACTTCCATCCTCAACTTCCCCAAAGGTCACCCCTGGGACCATCTCCTGCAGGTGTGGCCCTTCTGGTGCTACCCTTCCCTTAGGCCTAGGTAAGGGACAGATCCAGACAAGCTGAGGCCTCCATTTGCTCCCCTTCCTCACATTCCCACACTTCCCGGGCACCTCCCGCAGGGAGGGGAGGGGAGACAACGCCTTGCCACGCCCCTCGGGGCCTTAAACCAGCTCTGGCCTCTCCCTTCAGGTCAGGAAAGGGTGGGGCAAGAGTTGGGGGTCTAGCTGGAAAGGGTGTTCCCACAACAAAAGGCAGGCAAGCTATTCATTAGCTGCGACCCCATAGGTATCCCCTCCCCCACACCTGTAAAGGACTTGGTGTTAGTTCCCCTCTAGAGAGGAAGTTCCCTCAGGGCAGGGCCTGCCTCCCCAGCACAATGGAGGTCCTAACCAGTATTTTTTGTTTTACAGTAAAGATGGCTTCCATCCACCCAGCCCCTACAAGGAGGCAGGCACTCAACAGATGCAGGAGTCTGCAGGGAAAGAAGCTCTGGGTTCACATTCCATCTCCTATTCTAAGACCCTCAGCCCAGCACAGGGCCCCAAGTAGACACTCAAAACTAACTACAGCCCACGATTCCTCCTTGAGAGAACTGCAGGAGAGGGCTGGGGGCGGGGGCAGTTCAGCGGTGGAGCACTTGCCTAGCTCGCAGGAGGCTCTATATTAGATCCCCAGCACCTCCAAAACAAACAAACAGAAAACTGCAGGAGATAGTTATTATCACACTAATTTACAGATGGAAAATATGATGCTAGGTCTGTAGCTCAGGGATAGAACACTTAGCATGATTGAGGCTCTGGGTTCCACAATCAACACCCCACAGAAATGGAGTATGGAGGGGTAGCTCTGTGGTAGATTACATGCTTAAAGTGCATGAGGCCATGAGTTTGATCCTTTGTCCCAAATAAATAAATAAATAAGAAACTGAGGGTTCAGAGAGTTAAGTGCCTCACACAAAACAAAGAGTCTGATTCCCTGATCAGACAAGGCTTTTAAGAAGTAGCTGAAACTCCTCCTACCCCAGAAAAAGAATATAGGACTGGGATAATCAAAGGTAGTGAGAAGGAAGAGGCCTGAGCTCCCTTCCAGGAGTCATGGAGGTTCCAACGTCCCATGGGCTCGTACATAGACTGCAATGAAGATGGGGAACATTAGTGTGCAAAACTGTCCTCTAATTCCCAATACTCCCCCTAAAGCCATAGCACCTTGAGAGGAACATGGATTTCAGTCAAAGAGAACATGGATGGCATCCACCACAGATTATTAATGCATCTCAAACTCCCTAAATCTCAGTTTCCTTGTCTGTCAAAGTATTTAATCCAGGCCTCTTACAGTTCTCTGGGGAGTAAATAAACCAGTATTTTATTTACTTCCTCTACCAATGCACCTGGTAGAGGAAGCATCCTTTATGGACCAATCCCTTCTCCACATACCCTAACTGTAAAAAGCGAAGACCCAGGTTCAGAGAGGTCAATGACTTGGCCCAAATCACAGAGAGTTAAGGGGTAAAAGCCACATGAGCATCCAGCATAGTCCATGGAAGCCAGCCAATGTTCTTCCTTCTCTTGACCCCTGTTGGCCTAGGTCAATGCCCATAACCACATGGTCTCCTGGACCCAACGGGAGGGGAGGGTGAGGGTCTTGCAGGTAACTGGTAAGAAACTGTAGGAAGAGTAGAGAATACTTTCCTAGTTTCTCCGCCAAGGTGGCTGATTTCAAGAGCTTCCCTTCTTACCCCCAAATTCTTGCTTTTTTTTTCCAGGGAAGAACCTTCTCTCACTCCAATGGACCACTTGCTCTTTTTATCCCTGCTAGGAGCAGAGAGGGAAGGAGTGTGGGGTGGGAGAGGACAAGAGAACAGAAAGCGAATCGAGGGTCCATGGGGAGGCATACCACTGTTCCCTGTGTCCCTTTCCCAATGGTCTGTGTGGCCTCTCTTGTCCACCCCCATGCTACTGGAGTGCCCATGTTTGAATTTTTCTGTATGTTCCCAAGGACTTACTTCCCAACCCCTAGCTTCCACTCCCACCCCTGGGTTCTGAGAGGGTCTGGGCCAGGGGTGAAGGCAAGGATGGGGGTGATGGTTTGGAAGAGATTAAGCACTAGGTCTCAAGCCTTAATGGCCATGTCAGCCTGAGGGCTAGTGGCTGCCAAATGATGGATGGGGTGGACACCATCCTCCACCCACCACAGCACAGGGCGCCAGTCCCCTCCCCTGAACCACCCACCCTGGTAGCCTACAGAAGCAACTTCCCCCACACTCAAGCCAGGCCTCAGCTCAAAGAGGGGGAAGGGAAGACAGCAGGGGCCTACTCTGCTCTCCAACTCCCACTCCCCCAGCCCTGGCCCTGCTGGGGGTGGAGAGCAGCTGCCTGCCCTGAATCCAAGTCTGGCTGCTCTGAGATCTGAGAACTCCTGGGCCCCAGGGGACAAAGACCAGAGCCTCAGGGATGTGTGTGCACACAGGATAAAGCAAAGAGAATCTGGCAGTTACTTCCCCGGGGTAAGGGACACTCTCCTTCCAACATTTAAGAGCACCATAAAGTTGTAGATCAGACAGCAAGCTTAGAAAAAAGGAAGAAAAAAAAAGAAGTATCCCTTTCTTTCCTGTCTTTTCATGGGGGGGGGGGATATAGAGCGACACCCACTGAACAACATAATTGCTGCAATGTGGCGTGTAATAATAGCTATTCAAGGGCTGATCATTCATATTAAACAGGGTGAAGCAAGCCTCTCATTTGCATGCTTGAGATTATATGCATTTGAAAAGTCATTTCCGCAGGGTGTATGAATGGCATTAATTCCCATGTGGCAAGCTCTGCCCCCTCCAGGGGCCTTCGCCCTGCTGACACACAGCCCTATACCTCCTTCCATGCTCCCACCCACCCACTAACACCCGCCCCCCAAACCTGTATGGCAGGCATTCCCAGGCAGCCTGCGAATCCTCACCTGTTCCCTGGGACACTTGCCCTCCAAGGCTGAGCACAGCAGCAGCTTCCTTCATCCCTCTGCCTCTCCACAGGGTGTTGCAATAGGACCAGGGTGTTTCCTGCACTGTGGGTGAGCAGATTCTGGGTGCCTGGGGCCCAGGCAGTTAGGGATGGGATGAGGTAGGGTGCTGGGGGCAGCCCTTGGTATCAATGTGCTGTAACTACAAGGGAGTGGGTAAGACAGTGCCCATGAGAGCCTGGACTCTAGCAGGGGCCTTGTGTTAAGAACCTGGCTCAGCCACAGTCAGCTGTCTTTTGCCTCACCTTCAATACACCCCTCCATGTAGAGAAGTTTTCTTCTGACTTGGAAACTCCAGTAGCAAAACCTCCTGGTCCAGCATGTGGACATGAAGCCATAGTATTTCAGCGGCTGCTGGGAGCCACTGAGGACTCACTGCTGGAATCCCTTTGCCAAAGGACCCCACCCACTGTAGACCTGAGCTGCCAGCTCTGGGACTGGAGATGCATCTCCTCCCTACACTCCCACCTCCAGCCTCCATACACCCTTACCCTCCCACAACACTCCTCCTCATCACCCCTTTCCCAGCCAGGAGCAGCTGAACACCTTCAGGAAAGGGAGGAAGCTCTGAGAATTGGACCACCTGTTTTCAAGGCCCAAATGTGGGACCTTATTCGAGTCACGGCCTCTTGCCCAGTCACTGGGCTGCTTTCTCCCTCCACACAAGAAGGGAGATCAGAGATTTTTTTTAGGGTTGACTAAAACTGGGGCTCTCATCCTCACCCGACACTTCCCAGACCCCTCTCCCACCATATGATGGGGGCAATGGAGGCCAAGTAGTTTGGGGGGTGGTCTAGGACTTCCATCTAGGATTCTGATACGACACATGGGCAGGTCCTAGTCTCTCCTCTCTCAGGGTTCTCTTTGGGGGAGCCGGGGCATGCTTGAGATTATATGGGTCCCGCGCGTCAGCAGACGCTGTGGGAAGGAAGGAAGCTGGGTCAAAGCCGCAGCCGCCTCTTCCGCTCTGGGGGGACGCTGTGGCTGTCGGGGGGCTCCCACTTCCCCTGATGCTCGGGCTCTTCTAAGGACCAAGGCGGGCCTTGGAACTCTCCAGGTCCACCCCGTCCCCTCCCTGGCCGGAAGTGACGAGTTCCACCTACCTGAGACCAAAGCGGGCACCCAAGGCCTGGGGTGCTTGGAGGGGGAGAGAAAAAAGACTGGGGAGCCCCACACGTGGAGAAACCTTTTGTGCCTTTTCGCGGGTCCATATGGCATAGGGAATATTAATTACCGAAGCTTTTTAATTAACAATCATTTAATCTGAGCCGTAACATTTGCCACGACACCCTGCGCCTCGCCGCGAACCCGCGCCGCCAACTCATCAATTAATTTTTATTGACGTTTTCTTCCCCAAACAGGCACAATACCAGGGTTTTCCAATTAACACCTCCGCGATCTCTAATTAGCGCAATTAACAGAGTGATGGATGCCCGGGGTTTACCCGAGAGGGAGGGAGTGGCGGGGCAGCCCCCAGCGCGCTCCCGGGGCGCTCGTCCACTGGGCACAGACGTGCACGCGAGCAGCTGGAGAAGGAACGCATCCCAGCTCTTAAGGAAGCACACCGTTGGGGGTGTGACCACAGCTCACCTGTACACAGAGCCAAGGTGGTAGCTGGAGTTGGAATAAGAAGCTAGTTTCCAGCCTTATGTAAACCTATAATCTAGCCAGGAGAGAGCAGAATTTGTCCTCCGCTGGTAGCCTGACACTAGAAGTAGGGAAACCGGCATCTAGCCCTAGCCTTATCATCAACTTCCTGAGTGACTTGGGTAAGTTAATT